TACTCTGAAGATGACAAGATGTAAAAGATATCCATACCAGTTTTGATTATTAACCTCTCTCAAGTCCTACAATGTTTTCAAAGTTGTGTTTTTATAAAATAGCTATGTAATACTATGCTTAACTATATTAAGCCTGATGATGTGGACAAGTCTATTGAAAATAACAAGAGAAAGCATAGTAACTATGGTAGATCACCTAATATTGTGGTCTTATGTGTCTTTTACATTGCATATTTTTTTAGGAATTTGTTTTGTTGTCTTGTTATGATCTATTTTTCCCTATATTACAGAGAAGATAGATATACATGTGGAAATTCACACATCTATCTGTGGAAGACTCTGTTGCAAGCAATCACGATGTATCAGCAGGTTTGAACCCCTCCTCACACACAGTGAGTACCAACTCAGAAAAAAGACCCTGCCAGCTACCTCCTTCTTCAGTGAAGTTTTTCCTTTGTTTCTCTGTTGGGATTCAATTTTCACTTCAGATCCTTCCTAGGTCTGGGTCCCTCCTTCTTGTCTTCTTTGAGTTGGTATATTCCAGTGTCTGGATGGCAACTCTCTGAGAGATTTTTCTGCTGCTTACCACTCTGCCATCTTGGCAGAAGTCTCTCCTCATAGCTCTTTGTGACTGGGATATAGGCTGCAGTACTTTACCCAGACCAAGCCTTCGAAATTTGTCCTTCACTTTTGTTATAGAAGTGGGATTTCCTCCCGGGTTGTTCTCCACGCGGCTTTTATAGCAGAGTAAGAACTAACTTTTACTATGTTTTTTTATTCCTAGTCACACTCATTCATTTAGGAATAGTAGCTTTTTTTTTGGTCTTTTTCTTTTTTATTGGTACCGGGGATCGAACTCATGACTGCTTGCTTGCAAGGCAGGCGCTTTTGCCGCTGAGCTAAATCCCCAGCCCCTTAGTAGCTTTTTTATTAGATAAACTAACTTCTTGTGAAAAAAAATTCAACAAAAAATCAACACTTAAAATTTGGTCCATGCTTCTTTTGTGTCTTATCTTGTCATTTGGGATGAAGGAAAAAACTGGATTCATGCTCTTGTTTTTCTAATTTTTCAGATCAATAAAACCACAATAGACTTATCAGACAACTCTCAATTAAATAAGTAAAAGTTACCAATTCAAGACCATGCAACTTAATGTTACTTTGTTTTCTTTATTATTGCATATAGAGTCTGTATTTTTGATTTACTACTTTCTATGTTAGGTTTTACTAAACATCTATGGAAGAACTAGAAACTTGTAAATATTTACAAATTTGCAAAATAGAATAAAAGTTAACCACATTACACTCAGCAAAATTAAAGAAAAAGATAACTTTAGTAAAGAAGCAGCAGCTTGAAGGGTTGGGAGGAGGATGGGAAAATTAATTAAGATATATTATGCACATGTACAAATTCCTCATTATGAGTATCACCATTATGTATGGAAAAATGTACTAATAAAAATATATTTTTAAAAATTTAGGTTGGTCATATGAGGCCTTGGAGCTAATAAGGAAAGGAGCTGGGATTCATACCAGACACTTTTGACTCTGAGCTCATCCAACCCAACTCTCAGGATTCCACATAATTTATTTATGAGACACTGTGTTCTTTGTCATTTGTGCAAAGATGTCTTGCAGTTGACTAAGTTTTGTTAAAACAACTAAGTGAAGGCCTTCTTAAGGGATTATCTGTGGATTTTGCATGAGATTGCAGAATACTATGCATGTAAAACTTCTAGGCCTATACCCTGAATCTTTCATATCACTTCCCCCTTTTATCACTATAGATAAATTAATGGTGAATTAATATTATCAGTGTACTAATATCATAACATAATCTAGGAGAGGCTGAAATCAAACTCTAGCCCACTATCTCCTACCTTTATAAAATAAAGATTCAATAATTAAATATCAGACAGACTAGAAGGAAGCAGAATATCTCCTGAGTGATTGTTTAAAACTATGAGGTTTATTTAGGTTGAAATTTTACAGGTTATAAGTTGGTGGATAAAAATGGGGATAGGCAAGGTGGCTGAGAAGCAAGTGGTCCATCAATTATGAAAAAGTCTTATCTAGGAACTCAGAGATTAACTTGGTTCTTATTAGATGTTTCTTCCATGATTAAACTGATGTTTAGCCACTTCAGTCTATGCCTGCTGGATTATATGGAAAGACAGTGCACTAATACCAGAAAGGATTAAGTGCTAACATCAATAGGGTTCTCAGGCTTATATGACTGCAAAATTTCTCCTGCAAAAATTTTAAGTTACCTAAGTCCATTCCCTCAATTTCTTCTGTTATTTAGAAACTCAAGATGGATTTTCAGAATTCTCAGATACAAATCTGTAATATTACATAATAATCATTGGGAAAGTAATAATTTACACTGATATAGATAGTATATTGCTCTTGTCAAGCATTTATTAGTACAAAGAGAAAAGCCAAGAATTTAGATTAAAGGTAATCAAAAATAATACAAGTTTTTTTTATACCCTTCAGGAAAGATCATTCTAGTTCAGTTACAAGCTTCCTGTCCTTTTATTGAGTTCAGCTTTATTTAACCTGGTATCTCAGTGCTATGGTGTATATCTAAACGTCTCCTAAGCCTCATGTGCTCATAAATTGGACTTTCAGTGGGGGATTGGATCATGGAAGCATGGTACCTACCAGTGGGTCAGTTCAAGGATGAATGCATAGTTAAAGATAATGGGACTGGGCAGTGAAGCCGCCTTGGAGGAGGTAAGTCACCACAGGCATGGCCCAGAAGAGCTTATGTCTTTCCTTCCTCTCTTGATTGCTCTTTATATTTCCTGCTGCAACACCATGAGCTTCTCCTCTGCTAGACCTCTCTGCCATGTCATCATCCTGCCTTGGAGCCGGCTGAGAATGAAACCTTTGCAAATTGTGAGCCAAAATAAACTTTGCTCCTTAGAGTTGTGTGTGTCAAGTATTGTGTCTCAGCAATGAGGAAGTAATCTAAGACACTGAGAAAAACATCTATTTTCAAATTTTCCATTTATAGGTCACACACATAATAAGAAATAAGAATGAGCAGTAAACATATGAAATATTTGATCTCATTTTCAGCCAAATGGATGCAAAATAAAATGGTTGTCTTTTCATAAATAACAAATTGGAAAGCATTCTCAGATTAACAAAAATATAACATTGTAGGAGGGAACTGAGTAAGCAGATAGTCGTACTTATGAATCAAAAGAAGCATGATGTGCTGATGTGTGTAACATTATTAAGTTTTTTTGGGTAATTAGACTTTGAAATTCCTTTTATAGTAAACTACTACAGAGGAGAGCAAGCATTAACTGTCTAAGACTGACTTCCAGAAGCTAAGGTACAGTCCACTCAGGAAGCTTGTCATGATGCAATGCTGTAGAGGACAAATCCACTCAGAGTAGCTCTGGTCAAGTGCTCAGTGGTTCCTATGACTGGACCCAATTATGACAGAAAATAGGTGTAGCTCTCCTGTCACAAACATTGATGTAGCAAGTGCTGTCACATGAGTCAGTGTGTTACACGGCTGTGAAACATGAAATTCTAAATTTTGAACTTTAGAGAGTAATTTTTGACAGGAATATAACCACTAATCATGTCATCCTGGACCATCATCTTCTAAGAGCAGCAAGAAGGACTGAGTCTGATCTCTTCAATTAATGGTTCCCGGTTATTGGCAAATGATGCTGATGATGAAAATGATAATGATTGTAATACAAATTTACATATAATGATTATTTACCAGTGTCAGAATTCCATATTTTCCACAGGCAATAAATTCTGAGACTTTTTTAAAAAAGGCAGTAGATTCTCTACTCTTGCCCAACTGAACTCCTTTGCATGTATATTTAAATACATTGGCACCTATTTTGGTCTCATTTTTAGTAATAAAATAAACCCTATATGAAGTCACCTGTGAAAAACTTAACAAAAGTTAAGTCTTTGAGCCAAATTGTTTTAGTTCTGCACAGATTCTGCATTGCTACATTTTCTTGTTTTTCTTTTATTCTTTTCCATAGTTTCTGCTCCCTTTGTAACATGCTGAATCCAACATTTGCCTTTATAAGAAATACAAATTCTTTCTCAGTCAGAGTGGCCATGGGGGCAGTGTGCTACATAGCCATTTTTCACACTAGAACACATGAGTCTTCAATATTTTGCAGACTAATCAGAAAATGGAAAAATGTCCCTTGCTCCTGGATAGTCAGAACCAATATTGTCAAAATGGCCATACTTACCAAACTCATACACAGTCAGTGCAATCCCAATCAAAATATCAAAGGCATGTTTTGCAGAAAACAGCTCTAAAATTCCTATGGAACCAGAAGAGATGCCAAATAGCCAAAGTAATTTTGGCCAGTTAAAGCAAAGCAGGCAGCGTATGAATACCAGATTTTAAAGTATACTATAGAGCAATAGTGATAAAAAATGACTTCATTCTGAAACAGACACATAAAGCAATGGAACAGAATATAGGATACAGAAATCTCTCCAGAAAGATCCAATTATTTGATCTTTAAGAAATGATCTAAAAGCATATGTTGGAGGAAGAATAGCCTGGGTGGTAGGAAAACTGGTTATCTATAGAAAAATGAAAGTGTAGCCTTATTTCTCATCATGCAATAAATTAAAATGAAACTGGATGAAAGATCTATTAAAATAGAAATGTTAAGTATTCTGGAAAAGCAAACATTACACACTATGAAGACATAGATATATGAAAGAATTTTTGAAACAGAACTTCAGTTGCAAAATAAATAGCAGCAAGAATCAACAACCTGGATTATATCAGACTAAAAACTTGTTTATAGCAACAGAATCAATCAGTGAAGTGAAAAGAAAACATACAGATTGGAAAAGTTTTTTGCTCTACTCCTCAGATATAGGACTACTGTCTAGAATATGCAAAGAAATACACACACACACACACACACACACACACACACACACACTCCATCTAAAATTAAAGACTCAGTCAAGAAATGGGCTAGATACTTACCTGGCAGGGAAGACGCTACGATCACGAAGGTGGTTTTCCCAGGGCAAGGCTCCATTGCACTGTGGATGCGCTGACCTCTGTGATTTTCCCAAATGTGGGAAACCTGACTGCATAATTTGTCTTAGTGGGGGACTGCATTCGCACTCTCCCTTGAAGAAGAAAAAAAAATGGAAAAGAAATGGGCTAGAGAAACAGGTACTTCACAAAGAAAGAAATATCAATGGTTAACAAGTGTATGAAAAAATATTCAACATTGCTATCCATTACAGAAATGCAAATTAAAACAACAATAAAGTTTTATTTTAGTCTGAAAAGTATGGCAAACATTAGGAAATCAAACAGTAACAAATGCTGGCATGGCTGTGGTGAAAAAGGAGCTCTTTTACATTGTTAGTGAGAATGCAAAATAGTACAACCGTTATGGAAATCGGCATGGAGAGTTATCAATGAATTGAAATTAAAAATTCTATATTCCTCTGCTAGGTTTCTTTCCCCAAAATTCATCATACTGGAGTGATGTATGTGTTCCAGTGCTTCCACCTGCACAATTCATAATAGCTAAATCCTGGAAGCACTTATATGCCCATTAATACATGATTCGATAAACAAAATGTGCTATCTATATACAATGGAATAAGACTGCTAATAAGAATGACAAATCTGAGGCATTTGTAGGAAAACAGATGCACCTAAAAATATAATGTTGAGTGATATAACTTAGAGACAGAAGTTTAAATACTGTATGGTATCACTTGCGTGTGATTCTGGGCTGCAGCTTCGCGTCCCAGCTCCCTGTCAGCCATGCTATCACGCAGTACGCAAGTGGCCCTCTGCAGGCTTCTGTGCTAATGAACTGTGGTGCTCAGGAGGTTATTTGTGCCTGCATCAGCAAATTAATTGTGTATCTTTGGCTGAAGCCACTTTGAGTTAAGTTTCTGTTACTTGCATAGGAAAACGTCCTAGCTAGTGTAGAAACGATGAAAAAATGTATCAAACCACTGACAAAGATACCAAGTTCCAAAATGAATGACCTAGAAGGGATTAAAGTGGGGGGGGCAACTAGGAGGATTAGAAGGAGGAAAGGTATTTTAATACACTAGAGCGGCCATACAAAATACCATAGATCAGTGAGTTTAAACAACAAAAATCCTAGTTTCTCATAATTCTGGAAGCTGGAGTTAATTGATTTAATTCTTACTACAGGTATTTCACTTTGGCTTGCTGATAATTTCCCTTTCAACATGCCCACACGTAACCTTGTCTTGGTGTGTATTCTTAAAAGCCACCAAACTGATTATGAGTATCCCATCCTTATGACACCTTCTAGCTCTAATTACCTTTCAGAAGCCCCATATTCAGTTACCATTAATTTGGAGGATATTCAGCATATGAATCTCAGGGAGACATAAGCATTTAGTCTATATGTTCTATTTTTTAAAAAAGCTTTTTTGTTGTCATATGTTTGTAATACATAATGACTATGTTTATCATGGGGAGTTTGCACAGGTGCTTAACCCATCTTCATTTTGTTTGTTTTGTTGTACTCTTTCCTTCCCATGCCTTTGTGCTCTATCAATTTTTATTCCCATTTTCGTTTGGAAAAAAGATCCTGCTACTTCCTATGATCTGACTTCTTTAGCTCTTTATTTATATTTAGGTTTGCTATATGAGAGAATTTATCTCACTAACATTATAGTATCAAGGTGCATTCATTTTCCTATTAGAGATTCAAGTTTATCTTCTTATGATACAGCAGTATAAATATCAGTATTTATACTTCATTCAGTATAAATATCACGCTTTCTTTAACAGTTCATCTGTTGACAGACATGTATAGTTTCTAGGACTTAGTTTTTATGGGTTGTGTTGTTATAAAAATGAATATGCATGTATCACTGTCACGTGTGACTTTCACTCTCTGGAAAGTTTCCTAGAAGAGAAATAGTTGGGCCAAGTGGAATGTCTATTTTTAGTATTTTGAAAAATCTTCATACTGCTTTTCACAGTGGTTGTATTGGTTTACTTTTCTCACAACCTCACCAACATTTGTTGTTATTTGTTTTCTTTCTTTTTTTTGTTTTTGTCTTTTTGTTTTTATCGGTACCAGGGATCAAACTCACGACTGCCTGCTTGCAAGGCAGGCACTTAGGCCACTGAGCTAAATTCCCAGCCCCTTATTTGTTTTCTTGATGAAGGTGATTCTTTTGGAGTAAGATGGTATTTTACTGTTGTTTTAATTTTAGTTCTCCAATGGCCTGAGAGTGACTACATTTTTTCATGCATTTATTGACCAGCTGTCTGAAGACATAGGTATAGGCAAGGACTTCCTGAACAGAACTACAATATACAAGAAATAATACTGAGAATCAACAAATTGATCATATCAATTTAAAGAACTTTTGCACATTAAAGGAAACAACCCAGAGTGAAGAGACAACATACAGAATGTGAAAAAAAAAAAAAAAACAAATTGCCAGCTATTGCTGTTCCTCAGGATTTCAGACTGCATAAGGAACTAAAAATTTAGACACACTCAAATAAAAGATCCAATCAAGAAATGGGTAGCTGCCATGTAGAATGTATTCATAACTGTCACGAGTCAAACAACATGAATAGTAGGAAAGTAACTAGCAGTTTATTGTCCACTTTATGTGCTGAATATTCTTTATCTCACTGTATCATATAATCCTCACAAAGAAACAAATGAAATTGATAATAATGTTGTTATCCTTTTTATCAATGAGGAGAAGAAAGCAAGTAATGGTTAGGTAATTTGCCTGAGGACTAACATTATAAATGGTCAGGGCTTCAGCTCCAATCACATTGGTACGGAAATCTTTGCTCTTAACTATGATACTTCATTCTGTTGAAAATATCTCATATTTCTTACCTAGTTTTGGCTTTGAAATTGTAATTTTGCGGCACTCACATCATTCCATGTGAATAGTTAATCTTCCTATGTCTTCCTGAATATTTAAAATATATTTTCTAAGATGGAAATTCTGAATTTTAAGTGTATTTTACATACAGAAATAAAGATACTTTTTCAATGATTCTCATCTATTGAATATTGCAAGAGTTCCTACCTTCAATAACACATAATAATAAACACAAGGACTTCATTGTTACTGTGGCTATTTTTGCCAGATTTGTAACTTTTTGGGAAAAATAAATTTCCTTAGAGCAAAAGAAATGACAGCTATTGGAAATTATCTCAAAAGCATGTTTCCATACTCTGAGGAAAAAAATCTTTTCATTTTGGTGTCTAAAAGTGAGGGGTTAGGAACCATTTAAGTAGCTATAAGTGGATGCCAAATTACTAGTAAGGAAAAAGTTGATTATTACATAAAGTTGCTGCTTCTTGGAAGGCTAGAGAAACTGAAAGTTTGGGATTGGAGTGAGGGATCAACAAAGCCAAGTGAAAATATTTGTATAATTACAACAATCTTTAATAAATACAGTAATGCACTTTAAAGTCTAAGTAGGTAATCATTGGATACTACAAACAACTCTTATTCCTCCTCGTTTAAAACAATAAGCATTTGATCTTGGCTCATAGGACTGTTGACTAGTCATAGTGGCTTTGATGTAGGCAGCATGTACTTTGTGGACCAGTTACTCATCTTGTCTACCTTTTTGGGGTCAGTGGCTTCCAGGGACACTCTGTTTTTATGAGGGTGGCAGGACCACAGTCATTTGGAAGTGATGTGGGGAGGATTCTTCCTTGCTGCTTTTCAGTTTTTAATGGTTTCTGGCAGTCCTTGGCATTTATTGGTTAATTGCAGCATAATTATATATATATATTACCATTTCCCTCTCTCTTGGTTCAAATTTATTTTTCTTGCAAGGTCACTCATCACTGGGTTAGAGTCCAACTTAACTCAACAAGACTAGATCTTAACTCAATTACATTTGCAAACATAACAATTTTCTTTGCATTTCCCAGAAGTCATAGCCACAGAGGCTATTTCTCTTGCATGAGAAATACTCAGGTCCCAGCGGTGGACGCGTCCAGGCTTGCCTTATCCATTTTCACTCTGCATCCCATTCTAAATCTCTTGCACACAGGTTTTGGTGACCTAAATTTTCTATGCTACTTGGCACTTGGTAAGTCGTCAAAAACAGATTTTTGAATTTGTTTTAACCAAGAAAAGCTATTCAGTGATTTCTCTGGTAGAAATCTATGTTGAATTCCAGTCATAAGAATTTTATCCTCTGCTGCAGTATGTGGGAAACCATGCCCTTCCCTTGAAAGGAGATTAAAAGGGAGACAGCACTGAAATAAAGAACTCCTATTTAGTATTCTAATTAATGATGCTATTAGGTATGATTTTTTGAAGATAACTCTAATTGGAGTCATGTGTTATTCAGAACTCATGAAAGGTGTCATTTAGGTAAAAAAATTCAAACTTATCTTTTTGATTACATCTGTAATTATAATGCATTAACCGAGCAACTACACTGAAATCTTATGTGCTTTTGACATTAAAATGTAGTTGTAAAACAATAAAAATGACTGTGCTGCTGTGGCAGCCAAAGACACATTAATTAGCATTTTCATATAATCAATCTAGTGTCACGATGTGCTACAGAAATGGTGTTTTTAAAGTTTAATTTATAGGTTTTGGCTGGTGATTCAAGGTTTTTCCTGTATATTCAGACCTGGATCACTTTCCGAAATTTCCATTAGGTCCCAAGCTGAGTCTAAGATATACTTCAAAAGTTTTGGAATTGAAAGAAAACATTGACCATCAGTTATGTATTTGACCTTCCCCTCTCTTACTTTGTAGGTGGAGAAAGAGGTTCAGAGTGAGTTAACTTTGGAACCTGGGATTTTCTCATTGGCAGAGCCACACTGAATTCACCCTGTGCCACTTTGCTAGGCAAGCAGCCTTCTCATAAAGGCTTTGATATGAGTGATCTTCAGAATGCCAGAGGCAAACATGAAAATTGGCCAACTTAGGACTTTCATGTTCCTGAAAATCTGGGACAGTGTCTCCACATGATCCAGTGATGCCATCTAGACCAAGACAGCCTTCCAGTGTTTTATCTCTGCTTCCATTTGCATTGGTTCAGTTTCTAAACACAGTATTCTAGTGCTAGCTCCACAGGTGCTGGAAGTGTCAATCTGACATCCCACCCTGTCCCCAAAT